CACACCTTGAGGCATAATCGGTCCTTGTGCCCACATCAGCCCCTACGCAGCTAGGGCCTGCATAAAAGCTAAGTCCTCTTTAAAGGACATGGTTTAGTGGTGAGCTTGGCAGTGCTAGGTTAACTGCTGGACTCGATCTTAAGGGTCTTTTCCAACCTTAACGATTCTATGATTCTAAAGTCAGACTCTGTCCCTTCTATTCACATCAAGTAATATTTGCTTGTGGTTAAGAGTGCCAGGTGTGCTCTGCCACATGTGAACTCATGCAAAAGTAGGAAGTATGCCAAAACCATTAGCCCTTCCTTGTCATTCAACCTTACTACCAGTCCCTTCCCTCTTCTGTCCCAAACAGTTTGAGGTCACCTACGCCTCACTGTAGAGCACTAAAGGAGACTGCTTCGTCCGCTCAGTACATGCTGTGGAGTCAGGGTTGAAACAGAGGATGCCGGTTCATGCAAGTTATGCACGTACACAGCTCCACGAAGCGCCGAAACAACTGTAATATTTAAACCCGTTTCCGCTTCTGTCATAAATCTAAGGCTCTATACCAAGTTATACTTCGTATCAAATATTAGCACTCTCGCAATAGTTATCTCTGAAAATGAGCGATATTAGACCTTTCATAATTCTCAGCTATTACTCAGCTATTACTGAGTACTTTTCTTTGGGCAAACTACTTGGAGATATTAAAAAGTACACCTGCTACACACCAGTGTGGCAAACAAAGGCATCACAAAATGCAATTTAAATGCTAATAAAAGTTATGAAGTTTGTGTATAAGCCTTAATTCTGCCTCTAGAGTATGGCATGGTACAAACTTCCAGTGACCCCAGAAGAGATCAGAAAAGCCAGAAAGGGAGTCTGCTCTCTAAAAGGAGAATAATTTGCTTCTTTGTAAATGTCTGATGCACTGGATGGATGGGAAAGTAAGGAGAAGACAGACAAAAAATAGGGAGACCTGCATCTTCCCTTAAACTTATAGCAGTCAATTACTTACAGATAACTGGAGTATCATCAATGACACAGATTTCTAATTGTGACCTGGATAACGATGAAGACAGCTGTGTGTCAGTCCTCCTTACCCACTAACTCCTCTCCACAGCTGGGCTAAGACATCTCAGGATCATCTCGCTAAACAGCATGAGGCATCTGTGGAAATGGGGACAGGACAGAAGCTCGTGACAAGGAGCACGGTACTTTTGGGGGGAAGACTAGACATTAACACTCACAGTAAGAACACCATCCACAGTCTAGCAAAAGAAGATATGCGTATTTAAGGGATTTAGCGTAGGATGGGTTGTGCTGTTTGTTATTCCCATTTTGCGGTAGCCATTGCGTACATGGAGGCAGTTGTGGGGCTCTTCTTGGTTCAGAGCCAGGACACGGTGCCCCAAGCCAGCTTCAAAGCCGCTGCCGGGGTTTGCTGATGTACACTACGCTCCAGTCATTCTCTAATCCCTGTGTTGAAGACTGGAAAAGTCAGTGCCAAACACCGCTTCGACAACTTTTAACCCAGTCCGGGCATTTTCTCAGATTAATGAGACCACAAGCGTTTATTTTCTTGCTATCCAAGTATTGCAAAACCAATCAAGAAGGACAAGAAGGCCACAGAGGGATTTCAAACTTTTCTCATCAATATGTTCTCTTTCAAAACCAGAGTATTTCCCCTATAATAATAGAATTTTGAAGAAAACATCACCGGTGGGGGGGGATCAATTAGCATGTAGGAGTATCTCTACCTATACATAAAAAAAAAATATACAGTTATTTGATTCCAGTGAAGAAAAAAAAAATTACTTTCCAAAAGTCTATCCTCTCCACTTATTTCTCTCTCTTTCCTATCCTACTTATTATTAATGTCATTTTAGGCCTAGCTTATTATTTGTAGCAGGGTACCAGTCAGACACTACAGTCAAAAACCAAGGTCCCTTTGCAATAGGCACTGTCACAAATATAAGCAGCTGATTTCTCTTCCAACTAACTTACAAACTTTAAGTATAAAACATTCTAGATAAGGCGGACAGAATGAGCAGAGGGTGATAACATGGTTAATGTAACAAGCAGTGGTCACAACTGAACTTTGTTCTGCACGGAAAGAACATATCCAAGGATGCTAACTAATGCCTTGTGGTCTTTGCCAGTCCTATATTTCTAATTAAATCAAAGTTAAATTTTCAAAGGACACCATACTCTAAACATGTACTTTCTAAACTCTATGCCTCATTATTAGGTCACACGCAGCAAGTAATTCTCAAAATAAAAGCACTTGGGAAATGTGTTCTTTAACAGCTGCTTGCTAGTAGTCACTATAAAAAAAAAACCTGAGAGTTATTTGATTTGGAGAAGGAAACGTCTGCCTCTTTTTCCAAAGGAGACCTTTTCCTCTAGTTTGTGTTGGTACCTGTTAATTAGAAAAAAACCCCCAGAACTATTTGAAATGCCATGATCACTTAAAATTTACTTTGAAGAAAGTTACTTTGTAGTAACTTTGTATAACAGGGATCAATCCCGATTTTCAATATTAAAAAGAAAAAAAACCCAAACCCCATGAAAACCAAAATACCTTCCACGACAAGTTACTGTGCCCACTCAAACGTTAAGACTTACCAAATATCATACAAAGGTAAATACCACTGAGTTAAAGCCTTTTCATTTCTCTTACGGCCTTTTTCTTCTCATATTTCTTCCCAACTAGTAACTTCTAAAGACTTGTACCTTCTTTGTTTGTCAGCTTGAATCTCATATTCCTGCTTCTCCCACTCTGAAGAGCAACTCTCAGACAAACTCAGTGCTAACTAAGTGCTAAAGAATAGATTGCTTTGCTGCTTGTTGTGGCCTTTTATTTCCTCCCATTTGATTAGAAATACTTAATTAGTGCTAATTAAGTACTCTGAAGCTTGGGTGAAAGTTTTTATAGAAGTGCACATTTCTGCTAATACTTCAACAAGAGAAAAATACAATGACAAAACCACCAGACAGCACACTGAAAAAGTAAACTGAAAAAGGAAAAAAAACCAAACAGTGTTTTTTACCCTAATTGAGAACATGGGTACAGCTGAAGGCTGAAGCAGTTTATACTCTGCAGCAGACCTATCCTTAAGCAGCTCTGCCTCTGCTCTGAATTTGCTGTTGTTTTAGAGCCTGAACTTTAAACCTTTAAACCACGTCCGACTCCATGTAAGTGGAAAGCAGCTCCACGGGTGTTGCACGTTTACCTTGGTACTATTATTGTCATCTTTATCATACCTCTGTGCCTGGGTCCAGCCAGACTATCCTAAATCCAGCAGTCTATTAAAAAAGAAATGAGGAGCCAAAATGGGTTTCTATCCTACTTCAGTACCTTTCAGTTATTAGATTAGCCCTTCAGTGGGTAATCAGGCAAATACCTGAAACTAAAACAGTAAGTACAAGGCCATAAACTAAAGCAACCCTGAGGCTACTTTAAATAGCTGTGATCTCTGAGAAGGAACTGCGCTATCGCAGCCGCCTACAAATTAGCACAAAGGAGAAAGAGCTTCCCCTAATGACACTTCACTTCACCTTAGTTGCTGAATATAAAACTCATTATCCAAGGTTTCAGCTCTCCGCTTCAACCAATCTTAAGGCTACATTTTGCAGCCATCGTGGACCAAAGCAGACCTTGCTTATTAGGTGGTCTCCACTATGTATTTCATCAGATGATGAGTACGTGATCCAACTTGAGAGAAGTAATTTATACTAAATAACGCTACTATATGCACTTTTAAAGTTCACTTCATTCCGAATTTCTCTTCCCCCTCCTGAGCTCTAGTCCAGCAATTTTAAGTGACTAAATTCTTAAAGACATCAATGAAAATATATATATTACTAAGCGATCTTTCTTTCGAAATAGGGATAAAGTGTTTGTGATGGAGACATAAATTCCTCTTCAAACCCAATTCATATACTTTAAGCATAGATTTGAAGAATGCTGAGCCTTAAAAAATTAGTCTACAAACTTCAGTCTGTGAATAATGATGCAAACCCAGCAAAGCTAGTTAATCTTTTTACTCTATGTAGCAATGAAAATAGAAATGAGGTCCATCACATACTTTACCAGATCCTATGTTACAGAGTCCTCAGGCGTACCACATTAGATAGAACTTTGGCGCAATTCAAATTTTAATTCTATTTAAATAGAATTTTAATGCAAGTTGGGAAGTGAATAAGCAACCTTATCTGAGCACATTTGACTACTACATGTAGACGTGTCACATGCTTCCTATTATGTGAAGAACAGAAATTCTCCACAAGAAATCCAAGTTTTTCATAATATTCTGTGGCTTATAAATACCTTTTAACACTTTCCATTTTCGTAACAGTTAGCACTCATCTTCATAATATTTATTGGTGATAAAAAAAATCTAATGTATTTCCTCTTTAGCTCATCTTTTTCCACAGTAACTACATTTTAGCAATGGTTTGATGAAACTAAAGATAATGCTCTTCTTATTAATCCCTGTCTTTCTTTACAAATAATCTCAGTTATATTTCCACTTATTTGTAAGTTAACACCAGCTGCCCATCTTCATCTTTAACATGAACGGGATGCACAGGCATACAACACAGAAAAACAGATTACTTTGTACTACTACACAACTGCTTAAAAACATATTTACATGTTAGCAATACTACTGTTTTTTTCACAAAAAGAGAAAAATTGATTTAATCTATTGGGAGGACATCCTATGGCTTGTTGGGAACATCTATATTCTCTCTGGTTTACATCTGTTTTTCCTCTGTATGGAGAATTTACATTACTGTATTCTCCCTTCCCCTTGTTTAAATAACTTTATATCTCACTCATAAAAGAAGCAGCCATTTCTTTCAAGAAGGCTGTTGAAATACTATTTTTATAAAGAAAGACATTCATCACCTCTTTTCCACTGAAAAAAATCATGTTAATGCAAGTTTAGTTTTGGAAAGTACCAGAGCCAGTAAACTCGATAAATATAAAAATATCTGGGAGAACTGTCCATTACTGAAGGGCAGGTTTTACACTGCTGTATTGGTATCCTGATCTTAAGTTCAGAAACTGCACTTGAGTTGTGCTGTCTGCAACAGAACTACCAAACAGCATTATAATGTTTTCCCAAATTTGCTTTTTGGGAGCAATCTGGAAGGCAATTTTGTTATTTGATAAGATGTCCATCACTCAATTCACCTAAACACAGGTGCAGACACCCCTCCCAAACACACATACACACGCACACATGCACGCACGCACATTGATTTTACAAAAGTCTCCTTTTTTTAATCAAGTAGTCACAACACTGAAAATATTCTCCTATGTGTTCACTGATTATTCTTAAATGATTTGTCACCACTCTGCCAGTCAGAGGAGACGGTTATTTCATTCTTCTGAGAAGCTAACTATGTTCAAAAGCAGCTAGATGATGATGGTGGTGTGATATAAATTCCAATAGAAAAATGCATCGTCCGTCCGTATAGCAGTCCATCCTGAGAAACTTCCACTGACAAATTCTTGCTATTTTCCATCGGTCATGGGGTTCCCATCAATAAATAGAAGGTCAGTGCAACAATGAGGAGCAAGCAGAATGGAGAAGAGAAGGTCTGGTAGGCAGCTGACGGCATGAAAATATCTTCATACTTGTAAATACTGACAACACGCTCTGATACGGGTGGTGAGTCTATATCATGACGAGTTATAGAACCTTTAATAGGTACGGACAGAAAGAAACAACATCAGGTGCATTTTTTCTGTAACTCTACCATGGAAACAGGTAGCAAGCCAAGTAATTTTCAAATCTACAGGAGCATGCAATATTACACTGTCAGTGAGCAGGGTCATTTCTCTGCTTTCTGAAATTAAACTTCTGAATAAAACAAATGAAATTCAAGTAAATAATAAACATCCTTCAAAGGAATTCAGAACTTCTAGTTATGAATTATCCTTACCTAAATTTATCTTTGGGGAATGGGGATAATAACTACATAGCGAAGTAAACACGACAGGTAGGACTATTATTTAGTTTGTCTTCCTTTTTATCTGTTTTAAGCCTCATGCTGCCAGAATTTTAGTTCATTTTAAAAAAGGGGGTCTAGTAAGAATATTGTAATTGAAAGACATTCATCAATTTTGGCACCCCAGTTCTGTCAGAAGCATGGAAATCAACTTACCCTGAATTGCTGGGCCCCAAGCAAACAGATAGTACCAACTCAAGTGCAAATCTACTATGGTTTCCTCTCGGGGAACATATACAGGACGCTTGAATCGACACGTTACACGGTTGTTTTCAAAGACTCCTTCTTCATCTCTAGCAGGATTTCTCTGGATTTCTTTAGCCCACTGACCGACATTATAGAAGTGCTGTATTCGGACTCTTCCGTTATCATCATGAACACAAGCCATGACATCATCTCCT